GTTCGTGACGTGACTAATGCGATATTTATTATGCCCGCAGGTTCGCGACCACACGATGGCCCCGGGACGCCCAGTCGCCGCCGGCCGCCGCCAGGCTCCATGACTCATCAGGTGAGTGGCGACGAAGGGGCTCAATCAGCCAACACGTCGTCAGCGGCTGGACCGCGAGCCTGCTACTTGCTCCTCCCACCTACTGGCAGCTGCTGCAGCTGCACTCGTGACGGACCCCCTCAGCGGTGGCAGAGGGAAGGCTATTATTAAACCCATCGGACGAGCAGCCGTGGCAGTCCATCGGGGCAGCCAGCGGGTCGGGCCGCGCAGTGACGCGGAGAAAGGCAAAGAACATAGACGCCGCTCGGCGAAAAAATTAATTCAAATCAATTGTGAATAATATCTGTTATGGTGAGTTATAAGGTATTGGGCTAAAATTCAGAGTGTAAAACAGAGCTTACCTATCTGAGAGATGGCTGGGTTTGACGGACACCAGCATCAGTTAAAGTGAAAACTGATTTTTTCGCACTATAGAAATGAACTACGATGAAATTTGATATCAGGTAAAGGTACATAGAGCAGGTTAAAGATTTGCTGTCAAAAATTGAAATAAGTTTACGTGCTCTATTTCTTCAATTTTAGGTGAGGTAGACATTCGTATCCTACGTCGTTTTGAGGGTATTGGAGATACCTTTAGACGTTCAAAAACAAAAAGAGGCTGAGATAGTGCACCCAGAAAACCGTTACTTTGAATTAAAGAAATTTTATTTCATTCAACGAAAATTTCGTGCCGGAAACCAAAGAAAATTTTTTCGTTCATTCAACGAAAAAGTTTCTTTCACAGAACGAAAGTTTTGTCAGATTGAACAAATTTTGAGTTAAATAAATTTTTCTTCTAATCAACGAAAATATCGTCAGTTCGTGATTTCGTTAAGTCAAAGTTACGCTCTTCTGGGTGTGAGTATTGTGCCGTGCGTATTGTACGGCAGAAGGCGCGAGGTTCTCGCAATGCCCTGATGGAGAGCTAGTCAGTTCGAGCGAGTTCGAGTCCTGTCCTTGCCCTTCTGCACCCAAGGTGTAGAACACGGGGCGGAACAGGGCCTTGTGCCCCGGCTTGTGCGGGCAGAGCTTGCTCTACCTCGCCCAAGGCTGTGGGGGTATACGGGCGCGACGCGCCGCCGCCGGGATGGTGGCGGGGTATGGTAGTGGTGGTGTACTGACAACATTTTGGGAAAAAAAACAAGTGGAAAAGGAGAAAAGAGAAAGCAACGTCGGTGTTAATTAAGCCGCAATAAAAAGGAAACAAGCAATATGGTGGCCGCGGGGCAAGGGCGGGTCATTAACGTTAAACACGGCACAGTGTGTGGTGGTGGTGGAGGTGGTGGAGCAGAAGCCTGCCCGTCTTCTGCTTCTCGCTCTGTCTCCCTCCCCTATAGCATCTCCCTTCTCTTTCCCTCTCCCTCCCTCCCTCCCTCCCTCCCCCTCTCTCTCTCCCCGCGCTTCCTGCCCCTGCTGGCTGGCTACCTTATGAATTCAGGGCGCTGCTAACGTAATGAAATTGGCGGTGTGGTTCGTTTCGCATGGTTTTCCACGTGACCTTGCCTCAAAGCGACAGGGAGAGGGGCATTCTGACGCGGCCGGGCGCCTCACTGGAGTAAAAGGGGGGGATTGCCGCGCACGTATACTAGTCTCGTATTTTTCATCCCCTCTCCTCTTCCTCGCTCGTTGCAAGAGAGAAAGATGCAGCGTTCTATCCTTCTCCTAGCTCACGCCCCCCACCTCCCTCTGCACAGGAGAAGGGGGGAAAGAGAGGGAGGGGAAGCAGGCTGGCGGGGGCGAAATGGACCCCCCTAACCGGCCTCGCGGGGCCCGTCTGCGCAGCATAAGGGGGAGGGGGAGGGGGGTATTCGAAGAGTTCCAAAATGCTATGGTCCCCTTGTCTGGGGCCTTGACTAATGTTGCGTCAAAGTGAAAGAATGAAGTGCCCCCGTTTGTCTTTGCGGGAAGGGCCGCTTGTCTACCGAGCATCATAAAGCGAATAAAAGGGACGGAGAGAGA